AGCAAATTAAATGATGGAACGCGTGACCACAAAGTGCAGGGAGGCAGTAGAGAAGCTCGTACCAAAGGGCAACAGAAACAATGGGAAGACCAGAGTAAGAGCATGGTTTACCAAGAGGTGTGTAGAGGCCAAAGCCAAGTGTCAAGAGCATGGGAAAAGTACAGAAGGCAAAGGACCCAGGAAAACGGGGACTTAAATCAGAGCCAGAAATGAATATGCATGGATAAGGAAAGAAGCCCAGCATCAATATAAAAATGACACAGCATGAAAAGCCAAAGTTGTTACAGCCACATCAGGAGGAAAACAACAGTCAAGGATCAGGTAATCAGGTTGAGGAAGGAGGAGAGCTCACAAAGAATGACCAGGAAGTATACGAAGAGCTCAGCTCTAGATTCAGGGAAGTATTCACAGTGGAGACAGAGAGGCTCCCAGAAAAGCGAGGTGGTAGGGTGCACATTACAAATCGAGAATGTGCTATGGAACTAGATGCTGTATAGCCCTTGTGGCTTAGCGCTTCTTTTTTATTATAATAATATGGAACTAGATACCTCGAAGGCGGTGGGCCCAGTTAATCTCCTTGGGTCCTGAGAGAGGGAGCAGATGCACTGTACGTGCCTCTTAACAATCTTCAATAAATCGAAACAGGGCGACTGCCTGAGGTGTGGAAGACGGCAAATGTAGTCCCAATTTTTAATTAAGGAGACAGGCTGCACTATACTACAGACCAGTGTCGCTGACATGGAAAGTTATGGAGAAGAGTATCAGGAAAGAGTGGTGGAGCACCAAGAAAGGAATGGCCTAATACATGACAATCAGCACGGCTTCAGGGAAGGGAAATCGTGCATCCCTAACCTATTGGAGCTCTATGACAAGGTAACAGAAGTAAGACAGAGAGAGGGATGGGTACACTAGATCTTTGTAAGAAGACTGTCGATACAGTTCCACACAAGAGACTGGTTGAAAACTAGAGCAGGAAGGAATAGGGAAAGTACTGCAATGGACCAGGGAATGCCTGACAGAAGGAAACGTATGCTGGTCTGAGACGAGGTGTTAGAGTGGGTGCATATGTCGATTGGGGTTCCAAAAGGGTCAGTCCTAGGTCCGGTGCTGTTTCTTGTATACGTGAATGATATGACGGAATGTTGTGGGGGTTTGTAGATATGATGATTGGAGTAAAACACACTTGTTGGATGGTAACACTTATATTAGCAGAGTATGAAGGGGGAGAGCCCAAACTGCCTGTCCTGTCGCCTGCTTGGATTCCAGGGCACTGAGACCGGATGGTACTATGATACTCAGATAAGCTATACAACACATGTAGGGGATCAGCAACTATGCTGACAGCTCGATCATGTTACGTACGTCGTCTCGACATACAATACTATGCTATAGGCTGAACAGGCACGTAGCTCTGGGCTGATTCTATACAATAACAAAGACATACGTAACTTAGAACTAATGGATGGTATCATAATGGATGTTAACGTAACGAGTTTTAACGTAATGATTACGAATTATAAGAACAAATCATGGTATAATAAAGGATGGAATTGATCGATCGATCTGTATTCATGCACTCTACGGATTCTGAGGAAGGATAAATAAATTTACAAAGGTGAAAGTAATCAACAGCAAAGACGGATCTGGCGTGCTCAGATCATTACTGCTAAATTCTCAGAATTCGGAGGGAACGTGAACACAAATTTTCTGGAAAACTGATCAGCTAATAACAAAACACACAGTTGACAACTTCATTCATCTCGGACATCTAATTATACAGGCTATGTACATTTAAACCCAACTCTGCAAGGGTAAGATTTACATATGCAGAATGGTTATCGTCTTTTGGAGGATCGAATTCCTTTGCAATGGCTAGCACATGCCTTGACTGAGGGAGATCTGAACACGTATCTACAAAAGATACTTGTGGGTTTCTCATTACTTGTCGAGTACGCAAAGAATGACATTCCGGTTGATTATCTGGCTGAGTATTAGAGGTAGAGGGTACAGAGTCAGGAGGAGTGTCAGCATCTGTCACATTAGTCTGGGTAGCAATATCATTAACATCGCATACTAACTTCATATGATCTAAATGAGATTCTTTATACTGACCAGCACTAATTTCTCTAACCTTATACTTATTGTCATTGCTGACAGGAAGGGATAGTCAGAGGTGTCCCTGTCTGCAGACGACGTGAAATTAATGAGAATACAAGCGGAAGACGATAAGGTAAACCTACAAGGGGATCTGGACAGGCTGCAAGCCTAGTCTGACAAATGTTTCCTGGAGTTTAACCCCAGGTAGTGGAAAGTTATGAAGATTGGGGAATGACTACAGCCTAACAGGTCAAAGGCTGCAAAACTCGCTCAAGGAAAAGGATCTTGGGGTAAGCATCATACCGAGCACATCGCCTGAGGCGCACATTAATAAAATAACTGCTGCAGCCTACAGGCGGCTGGCAAAACTAAGAATAGCGTTTCGTCATCTAAGTAAGGAGCCATCCACGACACTGTACACCGTGTACGTCAGGCCCATATTGGAGTATGCAGTACCAGTATGGAACCCACACCTGGGCAGACACCTCAGGAAATTAGACTAGTTCCGGAACTGAGGGGTTTGTCCCACGAGAAGTTAAGGGCACCCAAACTGACAACACTGGAAGACAAGAGGGATAGGGAAGACATATTATTATTATAATCAAGGGGGAAGCGCTAAACCCGGAGGATTATACAGCGCCTGGGGGGGGGGATGTGGAAGGCATTCAGGCTTAATTCGGGGAACTGGAGCACAGATCCAATTCCCTAAATCAAGAGCCCCTCACCAACATCAAGGAACCTTCCTTAAGGGGAGGGAAGACATAACAGCATATAAAATACTGAGCGGAAATGACAGGGTGGATAGGGACAATGTTTCAGAGATGTAACACAACAAGGAGTCACAAGTAGAAACTGAAAACTCAGATGAAACACTGGGATGTTAGGAAGTATTTCTTCAGCCATAGAGTTGTCAGGAAGTAGAACAATCTGGAGAGCGATGTAGTGGAAGTATGATGAAGCTCTTGGAGCAGGGACAAAGTGGACCTAGTAGCGACCAGTGAAGAGGCGGGGCCAGGAGTTATGAATCGACCCCTGCAACCACAATTAGGTGAATACACAAAAACTTGTAAGCAAAACAGCATAAGGTGTGACTCGCCTGTAATTGTATTATTGCAACTGAAACTTCGGTTTCATTGTATTATCTTTCCTCGACCCCCTTCCATTCCCCTCTCCTTCATTCGTCTCCCTCTTTCCATCCCTACCTTCCTCCACTCTTCCTTTTTTTTTTTTCATTCCCAACGGTGGCGATCTCCACAGCGCCGGCGTTTTATTAAATTTACATTATTTAGGACAATATACAAATTATTTTACAAAAAAAGTTATTTTTTTTTTAGCAATAATTTTATTAGGCCCATAGATGTTTGTCGTGCCGAATAGATAAAACTGATCAATTAGCAAGAACTCATTTAAAATTAAAATTTTTCTAAAATTTCCTCTTATACGTTTAAAGATACATTTTTTCAATTATGTTAATGTAAAAATTAATAATTTTGTATCAAAAGAACCTTAGAAAACTTACCTGACCTTATAACAAGCCTAATCCAACTAAATATACTTTAGATAAGTTTACAATAATTTAATAAACAAAATGAAATATTTTTTGTTAGGTTAAGAATGATTTTTGCAAAATTACTGCATCCACAAATTTTAGCTTACCTTGTACAGCAAAAGCAGCATTGCTATTTAAGCCAAAATCGGAAGTTTTAGCTATTCGGCACGATATATATATATATATATATATATATATATATATATATATATATATATATATATATATATATATATATATTATATAACCCAGAATCTTCTTGTATCTAGGGTTTTCCGTGGCACCCGTGCCACGAATCGATGCTGCCAGGCACAATTTCAGTGACCACAACCCTGGCACCACACGCATGACGAACATATAAGACAAACACGAAAATTTAACAGTAATAAACAGTCATGAAAAACTGCACAATGTAACACAGTATAGAACAGACAACAGGTGTCAACAAAGTCACTGTACTTAAAGCACAAAAGAAATTAATGCTATAAAGAATAGGGAAACCTTCCAGCAAATGTCAAAATGTAAATGACGGTATCCAAGAGGGTTGGATGAGAAAGAGGTAAGAAATAGCAAATAAATTTGATGAAAAAGTAGTATGAATAGGAATGACCAGATTCACTATCACACTGAATCCCGAAACACTTGTATGAGTGGTGATATCAATGACAATACAAAGTGCCAATAACAGTAAAACTTGCGTAGAGGCCTCAGTCATATGAAACACTCAAATGTGAACAGTGAGATACAATGTAACACTGAAGTGTGTGGACAGAGACATGCGAATCATGTCAAAACATTACCCAACAGATCTAAGGCTTAAGCTCTTTCTCATAAATTTAATAATTGACCATTTACAGTGTAGGGTTTAGTCCTGAGTTCCTCAATGAAGGTACCTTGATGTTACTAAGGGGTTCTTAATTCAACCCAGTGGACCTGATCTCTCATGGATCAAACCTGATAGTCTTCCATATCTCAGGCACTGTATGACCCCCTACAGCTTTAAAAGCTTGCCCCTTATTATGATAGAGCACAGAGTGAGTTTGAGAAAGCTGTATACAAACTTCACAGAAAATGTCGATTCACTTCTCAACAATGATATATTTTGAGATTAATATTGTACATCAGTTTTCGAGTGAATGAGGACACTGTAACCAAGGAAATGTTCCTTCATGACTTGTCTAATTCCCCCTTCCCTTCATGACTAATTCTTCTTGTCCTTCACAGGATGAGCTGGTGTGCAGTAGCTGCCCAGGCAGCACTTACTAGCCACTCACCTGCGTGGTACACTGGCTGGCACTCGCCCGGGTGTACAGTAAAAGGTGGCACTGGCTGTACAGTAAGGGCTAGCACTCACCTGGGTGTACAGTAAGGGGTGGCACTCTGGCTGAGGGTACCACCTCTGGTTCCTCCTCTGACTGGCTTGGAACTCCAGCCTTGTTCCCCATATCGCCAGCCCCGCCAACCTGTCAACATAAGCATTCAAATATTATACTTACACAAATAATATACATACATATCTATTCTTATACATATTCATGCACAAAAAATTACACTAATGTAAAAAAAAAAACACGAGTAATCAATATGCACAGCACTGATTGTAATGTGCAATTTAAGGACACGGAAAGAGCCGAAACCTAGCTATAGAACTTAGTTTGGACTGTATATTTCACACAGTAAAACCCAGAGTGACAGGGACGTCAAAGTCCTGGTCATAAAATGGGCAGTGCGGAGGGGTGATCGTAGCCTGCGTTAATCTGCTTGTTAAACTACCCCAGGTGAACCTTGCGGGTTTAGCACTTAGTTCTGATTGTAATAACACCCTCGGGTGTAGTGTGATCCCTTACGGGTTTAGCGCGTCCCCCATAATGGTCGACCCCTCATTCCTAGACTGCGTGAAAGTCTTACACACAAATAGAGAAGATTTAAGACTTGGTGGAAGAGGAAGTTTGCGTGACTAGCAGTGTACTCTTAATACATCTACTGCAAAACTGTTTACGTTTAATTGGATGCATGTAGGTGGAAGATACTTGTGCGTGTAACGCTTAATTTTGACTAATAATGAGTGTAACTGAGGTAGTCTGTGGTAAGACACTGCTCATGTCGTATGTAAACTATCCACAACTGCTACCCTAACCTCAGCAGGCTGTATTCTTGAACATAACTCAAGATGTGCAGCGCATCCTCACTGAAAATACCGGGCGGTGTTCCCCTCCTCTCTGCGATAACAGGGGTCCCCCCCCCCATTGTGTGAAGAGGGGATCTGTCCCCTCAGCGTAGACTTCTGCACAAAAATGGGCATCGGTTTAAGAGGCGCTTCAGTTTCCCTGTCTCCGAATATCATGTTTATTTTTCCCCTATAATCTACCTTGCCCATAATTGCTATCACATCTGTTTTGTCCAGGATCTTTCTTTAATTAACGGTATAACTTGAGAAGTCTGTGAGGACAAATGCAATAACAATTATGGACAAGGTAGATTATAGGGGGAAAATAACAAGACAGGGGAACTGACGTGCCCCTTAATTTAAAAAACAGCGCCTCCTTTAGCGTGGTTACAGGGAAAGGCGCCCCCTTCAGTATGAAAAGAGGGGACGCCGCCCCTGTATACTGAAAAAGGGGCGGACCCCCTTTGGTATGGTTACATGGGGCGGCGCCCCCGTGTGAATAGAGGGGGTCTGTCCCCCTCTAGTCACACTGGGGGTGCCGCCCCTGAAGCCATGTTAAAGGGGCTCCGCCCCTTATTACGAATAGGGAACTGCGACCCCCTCTATTCACGCTAAAGGGGCGCCGCCCTTGTAGCCAAGCTAAAGGGGGCGGCGCCCCTTTAGCAAGAGGGGGCGCCCACTTTCTGTACTCGACTGAAGAAGCCTACTGTGTAGGCGAAACGTTTCGGAATAAAGATGCCTAACTATTGCCTATGTGTCTTACCAACTTACCAAAGCTTCTAGCGCCAGGGGCCCACCTGCGCCCCACTATGAAACAGGTTTCCCGCCTTGAATCAAAGACCGCAAACCTGCCCACATCTATTTATAAGATGCCAACCGAGAGAGAACAATCCTTGGGAAAAAGAGTAAAGCATAGGAGGAAGGGGAAGACTTGTGTAACGGCGTGAGTGCTTCTTCATCTACGTATGCACTTCGGCTTGACGGTCAGCCTCCTCCGTCAGCCTCACAGTCAGGAAGTATCATGTCTGCGTCTTTGACAGAGGCTTTGATTCACGCGCTCTTAAATCTGCTTCATCCAGGGACATCTTAGCCCCAGCACGTCTCAAGGTGCAGCAGGCGAGGCTGAACCTTCACAAGTCACGACACGCACATCACCAGGTAGCAGGGTCATGTGATGGCTGCACCAAGCAGGAAGGGCCATGTAAGGGCTAGACCAGGCAGGCAGGGCCATGTGAGGGCTAGACCAGGCAGGTAGGGCCATGTTAGGGCTGGACTTGGTAGGAAGGGCCATATGAATGCCAGATCAGGTAAGGGACAAGTCCTCAGATACCTAACCTAATGCTTCTAAGGAACTAAGACAGTGGAGAGGGGGAGAAACGCGCGAAAGTATGATTAATGAGGAAGTGGTCAGGAGAGAATGCCAGCTCGTGGCCTTCAAGGTAAGGGAAGGGGAATGATAAGGAAGGGCAGTGAGGGAGGGGAGGGGAAGGGTGACGTGTACTGATCCAGCTTCAGCATCAACTGCCTCTCTGTACCGCCTCAACATCCGTAAACAAGCCACACTGTCGATAATACGCTCACACCCTCCCCTGACTCCACAAAACCACTAGGTCATTGTATTATATAGCGGCAACGCAAGTACCTGTGTGTACTCGCCTATATATGGCTGCAGGGGTTGAGGCTTAGCTCTTGAGTCCCGCCTCACAACTTGTCGCTCGCCAGATTCACTCCCTCCTAGCCTCGTGGACCGTATCGTATCTGCTCTTAAAGCTATGTATGGAGCCTCCCCTCTCCCTTGCACTGTGGGAGAGAGAGGGATCACGACCCCCTTGTTGGAGGTAATTTCTCCATAAGCTAAATCAAACTTATCTACCGGTGTCGTTTCCAGTTATGATGACGCAAAATGAAGCTTATCTATTGCTGTAGTTCCTTTCAGCTAAGAAGAAGAGAGGGGATTTTGTCGATTAATTCAGAGGCAACAAAGTCCAGCAATGTGACAATGTTTCCGTTAGGGTCCTTACCTGGAGGTTACCTGGAGGTTATTCCGGGGATCAACGCCCCCGCGGCCCGGTCCATGACCAGGCCTCCCGATGGATCAGGGCCTGATCAACTAGGCTGTTACTGCTGGCCGCACGCAGTCCAACGTACGAGCCACAGCCCGGCTGATCCGGCACTGACTTTAGGTATCTGTCCAGCTCTCTCTTGAAGGCAGCCAGGGGTTTAGTGGTAATTCCCCTAATGCTTGATGGGAGGCTGTTGAACAGTTTTGGGCCCCGGACACTTATGGTGTTTTCTCTTAGTGTACCAATGGCGCCCCTACTTTTTATTGGGGCATTTTGCATCGCCTGCCCAGTCTTTTACTTTCGTAGGGAGTGATTTCTGTGTGCAGATTTGGGACCATTCCTTCCAAGATTTTCCAAGTGTAGATTATGATATATCTCTCCCTCCTGCGTTCCAACGAGTACAAGTCAAGTGCTTCCAAGCGTTCCCAGTAGTTAAGGTGCTTGACAGAACTTATACGTGCAGTAAAGGATCTCTGTACACACTCTAGATCTGCGATTTCACCTGCTTTGAATGGAGATGTTAATGTACAGCAGTATTCCAGCCTAGAGAGAACAAGTGATTTGAAAAGGATCATCATGGGCTTGGCATCTCTCGTTTTGAAAGTTCTCATTATCCATCCTATCATTTTCTTTGCACGTGCGATCGTGGCACTGTTGTGATCCTTGAAAGTGAGATCCTCAGACATTACTACTCCCAGGTCCCTTACATTATTTTTCCGCTCTATTGTATGGCCGGAGTCAGTAGTATACTCTGTTCTAGTTATTATCTCCTCCAGTTTTCCATAACGGAGTAGTTGGAATTTGTCCTCATTGAACATCATATTGTTTACCGTTGCCCACTGGAAAACTTTGTTTATATCTTCTTGGAGGTTAACCGCGTCCTCAGCAGATGACAGCCTCATGCAGATCCTAGTATCATCCGCAAAGGATGATACGGTGCTGTGGTGTATATCTCTGTTTATGTCTGATATGAGGATAAGGAATAAGATGGGGGCGAGTACTGTGCCTTGTGGAACAGAGCTCTTCACTATCCTTAGGTTATTTTTCCCAGGATGTGACACAACACACTACTAATACCCAATTACCTATTGACTAAGTGAATAGGAGCAGCATGTATTAGGAAACTTGTCTACATGTCTTGCCTAGCCCAGGACTGAACCCCGGTATTTTAGTCAAGAGTTAATAGTACAATCGATCTGTGCTTCTAGTGCTACATTTGGTGCTATGCTAACCCCCAGATCTTCCTCCGTCAACAGTGTCTGCCCTTGTTGCCACTGGTTTAACATATAAGGTTAATTACCAGTCTTGTTGACTTTTAACATCTGTATCTTGTACTACTGTTGATGTCAACAACTGGGTACACCAAAATAAGTATTTTACAGAGGTCTACTCCCTCTTGTAATTTACTCTCTCACATCTATATATTTTTTAGTTTTACATTTTCATCTCACTGACCACAATATTCCTTGTTTGTTTCTGTCAATGTTCCAAACATTGTATTTACTTCCCAAGAAAACCCATTTATATACTTGTTTACTTTTACTTTTTAAACCCTAAAATGTTAACAAAAATGAAAGAGTTTAGTATTAATGATTTTGTTATGAAGCTTTATTATACCTTAGTGGTGCTGTACCATCTTGTAATATAACACTTTATGTACATATCCATGTTGTCTTAAGACGTACTGAAGTAGGCTTGATCCTGTTGTGTGACAAACTGGTTTTTGTCTCCGTACTCAATGTCGTTTTATATGGTAAGTCTATTGTCTTTAGATCGTCTTTCTCTGCTTAAAAATATATATTTTTGTTTACCATACATTAGTTTTGATATGTATTTTTGTGAAGTGTTCATTTCACGTGGAATTTTAAACAACTTAACGTTGTAGTATTTTCTAGCCCGTAGTGATAATTTCCACTTCTCGGGCGAAAATACTGGCAGTCTTTATCCAAATGACAATTGAAATTCGTTAGCCACACACAGGCTGGAACAATCTTTGGTGGGAAACTGTGTTAAATACTTCCTTATACTCCAGAAACAGTCCACCCACCCTTCTTGTTTTTGTTTTACCTCTATAACTGTCACAGAATTCTAGAAGGTTGGTCAGGCAAGCTCTTCCATCTCTGAGTCAATGTTGGTTTCCAATGGTGAATTTCCTCCTTTCTAAGTGATCCAGTCTTCTCCATTACTTTGGAAAGGATGCATGTTCGTGATATCGACCTGTAGTTTAATCTAT